TCAGCTCACAGCAGCCTCCAACTCTTGGGCTCAAGCGAGTCTTCTGCCTCTGCCTCCCAAGTAGCTGGGACCACAGGTGCCTGCCACAACGCCCGGCTATTTTTTGGTTGCAGCCGTCATTGTTGTTTGGCGGGCTGGGCCGGATTCGAAGCCGCCACCTTAGGTGTATATGGCTGGTGCCTTAGCCACTTGAGCCAGAGGCGCAGAGCCACCTGCATTGTTTCTAATGAGAGGTCTCCTTTCATTTGGCTTATCTTTGTTCCTCTGTATATGATGTATGGTTGTTTTCCTCTGGCTGCTTTTTTTTTTCTTTCAAAAAATATTTTTTATTGTGGTAAAATATATAATTTAAAATTTATCCATCTTACCCATTTTTAAGTGTACAGTTCAGTGTTAGTAAATACATTCATAATGTTGTACAACCATCATCATCATACATTTCCAGAACTCTTTTTATTTTGCAAACTGAAATTATCTGTTAAACACTAACTCTCCCTCAGGCCTTGGTAAATACCATTCTACTTTTTATAAATTTGACTACTCTTATATGTGATACGTCATATAAGCAAAAAAATCATACAATATTTGTTTTTTTGTGATTGGCTTATTTCGCTTAGCATAATGTCCTAAAGGTTCATCCATATTGTAGCATGTATCAGAATTTTCTTCCTTTTTAAGACTGAATAATATTCTATTGTATATCATATACTACATTTTGCTCACGCATGTATTGATGGACACTTGGGTTGCTTCCACTTTTTAGCTATTGTGAATATGCTCCTATGAACATGAGTATACAAATATCTCTTAGAAATCCTGCTTTCAATTTTTATTATATACCGAGAAAAAGAATTGCTGGACCATATAGTAATTCTGTTTGTAATTTTTTGAGGTACTATTTTCTACATTGGCTGTATTGTTGTATTAACTTTCCACATCCTTGCCAACACTTGCTATTTTTTTGTTTGTTTGTTTTTGGAGACTTCAGTTTGTCATGCTTGGTAGAGTGCTGTGGCATCATAGCTAACAGCAACCTCTAGCTTTTGGGCTTGTGTAATCCTCTTGCATCAGTTTTTCTATTTTTAGTAGAGAGGGGTGTTAGTTTTTGCTCAGACTGGTCTCGAACTCCTGAGCTCAAGCAATCCACCAGCCTCGGCCTCCCACGGTGCTAGGATTACAGGAGTGAGCCATGATGCCTAGCTAGCAGCCTCAAATTCTTGGACTCAGCCTCCCAAGTAGCTGGGACTACAGGTGCCCATCATAATGCCCAGCTATTTTTAGAGATGGGAGTCTTGCTCTTGCTCAGGCTGGTCTTGAATTCATGGGTGAGCTTAGGCCATTCACTGGCCTTGGCCTCCCAGAATGCAGGGTCTTACTTGTTTTTTGATAGCAATCATCTTAATGGGCATGAAGTGGTATCTCATTGTAGTTTTGATTTTCATTTCTCTAGTGATTAGTAATGTTGAGCATCTTTTTATGTTCTTAATGGTTTGATTGTTCATTTATTTTTTTTGGAGTAAGGTCCTTTGTTCATCTTTATTGGGTCATTTGCTTTTTAGTTGAATTTTAACAGTTCTCTGTATATTCTGATATGCTGTTTTTTTATTTTTTAAAATAGAGATGGGACCTTGCTCTGTCGCCCAGGCAAGAGCTCAGTGTTGTGATCATAGCTCACTGCAGTCTTGAGCTCCTGGGCTTAAGTTATCCTCTGGCCTCAGTCTCCCTAGGAGCTGAGATTATAGGCCAGAACCATTATTCCTGGTTTATATTCTGGATATTAAAACTTTGCGAGATATATGATTTGTAAATATTGTCTCCCGTTCTGTATTCCTCTGGCTGCCTTTAGGATTTTTCCTTATCTCTTATTTAGCAATAAATAGATTGATTTTAGAATTATATGATTATAGAATTTTAGCTTTCTTTTCTTTTCTTTTTTTTTTTTTGAGACAGAG